TTCACTTGACCTGTCTGAGCTGTTCTCTGTATTGAAGTAGGGTTGAGACTGTAATATACATGTACAAGGATGTTGAGGAAATGTGTTTACATTATGTTTATAGACATACACAATACTTGATAATGGTAAAGTAACAGTATGGAGCAGACAGTAAATATACTGAATGTATAATGCTGTATGAGGAAGGGGGAAAGAGCACTAGACAAAAAGATATAACCACTTTTGTTAGTATCTTCATTTGCTCATCTGAAAAACCCCCATCTTATCCTATCATTTATAGAAGGTGATGGATCCTAATATTTGAAAACTGTTACAATGGATCACATGGTATCAGGCAAGTATTTTATATGGCCCCTTAAATAAGTCGTGCATTCAACAAATGTCTGGCAATAACGTGAGCAGATCACCATAGAGCATCTTTTGGTGTTGGACATGGGCTTCCATTCAGAATGGGATGCTCAGGGTCCCTGGATCTGTGGCAGAGTAGCAGCCCCTTAGCACTGGTGTGGGGCTGGGGAGGAAGACACACAACACAGGCAAGGGTGTGTATTTGTCTTGTGTCTGGTGATAGGTGCAGCCTTGTTTTATGACAGTCTGTTTTAAATGCCTGCATTTCACCTCTATTTTAAAATTTCAACTTATGTATTTTTTCTGTTTTACTTTGCTTTTTTCCTTATTCTGTTCCCTTTTACATGGCCGAAGGACATGTTCCTAAAATTACTTTATGTCTCACTCATTCTGGTTTCATGTCGTTTTAAAGAATGGCTCTTAAAAGCTGGTTTACAATGTGAAGGGCAGATCCTGAGAGCAAGACCTGAATGATCTGCTCTGAGTGGGCCACTAAGAGTGTGATGGGACACTGCTGTTGTTTCTTTGCAAGAGACCCATTCACACTGACCCAAGACATCCAGTCTCTCATTTGTCTCCTCTTCCTGTGCTGGGATATTCTGCCCTTATTGGTCTGGGTTGAGACAAACTTCCTGAAGTTAGCTCCTTCCAAGCCTTTTGTTACATCATGGCTGACAAATAGAATGTAGGGGTGCGGGTTGTCCCTGGTGTAGCTCTGGGCTGTAGTTTCAGAAGGCTAGCTGCTGCACAAATAAGGGGCTTTTCATTCTCTCTGCAAACTCTGAAACACAATATCCAAGAGCTAGCAATCTTGGGTTCCAGGTGGTGTTTTAAGCCCTCTAGGTGAGTTTATTTAGTTAATTATCACATCAACTCCAAAATGTTATTATTACACCTGTTATTATTACACTTTCAGAAGTTAGATGCAAAACCATACAGCCTGTGAGCTTAGGGGTAAAGGTTATGTACCTCCAGAACTCTCAGAGTTTCATTAACCACCCTTTTAAACTTCTTAAGAATTAAATGTATTTTGAAAGTTAAAAAAGAATTCATGACAAGTATAGGATTCTAACTAGCTTAACTTATTCCAAAGTTTGACCCATCAGGTCTACGGTTAAAATCTAAAAGGCCACATTGCTCTAGATCATAAGGAGTGTCACCTGACCTCAAGGGCAGCTTGCCCTAAAAATGCCAACATTTAACACACAGCCTATCTTCATGATATCAGAATGTCATGATTTCCTTTGCCATACTGAGAAGTGGAATTATATGTTTGAATGAGTGTGTGCTTGTAAAAAAGTGTGTTAGGAGTGATAGATCTCTTGTGTCCTTTCCTTCCTACACATTCAAGAAGCAAGTGCATGATCATTTGGCAGATATTTAAGTTCAGTGGATCAATCAATAGATCCATCCATCCATTGATAGGGAATGTTCATCTGTGTATGTTTGTCTTATTGGTTGATGAATAAAACAGTTTGCCAATAGGGTAGCAAGATAGGTGGGACTAGGATATGAGGAGGATTCTGGGGAGTTTAGGCAGAGAGGAGTCATCATGTGATCCCAGGAAGTGACATAGCTGGACAGAAACTGCCACTAGCTAACCATAGAAGTCTGTACAGATAGACAGGAAGTGATGTAGCTGGGCAGAATCAGAATATAAGCAGGGACAAACAGGAAATATCTCTCTTCTCTGTGGAGACATTGAGCAGTGGTGATGTAGCAGGCAAAGGAGTTGCAGGTCTGGTAAGCCAAGTTCATGTAGAAATACACAGATTAGTAGTTATGGGTTAAGAATAAGAAGCCCAAGTTGCTTTATACTAAAATGGTGTCTGTGTGTTTCTTTGGGGCAGAGAAGAGTGACAGGACCTCTTAGGCCAGAAACTTTCACGTTACAATCAATCCATCAATCCACCCAACAGTCCTTTTGCCTTAGGTGTCTGAGATGCGATGATGAACAAAAAGTGGTGCATCTGTTGTCATACACCCAGAGCATGTGACATGGGGGCTGTGACCTGAGTCATGCACTGTATACCTGTGAGGTTCCACCTTCCTCATTTGTACCTATATCATAATCCGAAGCTTAAGGGTCTTTTAAAAAGTCACTAATTCTGCATGTGTATGTATTTGTGATGAGTGTGCCTGTGTATTCTTATGTGTCAGCTTGTGTGTAGAGGCCAGAGGCTGACATTAAAGTAGGAATCTGCTTCTTCAATCACTCCTCACTCATTGAGGCAAGCTCCCTCAGTTGAAACCAGCACTAACTGTTATACTAACTGATCTAGTCTAGCTAGCCAGTTTTCTTCAGTCTCTACTCTTGGAACACTGAAATTACTTGTTGGGGAGGGGACTGCCTCACCCACTTGGGATTTCTCTGAGTTCTTGGAATCTGTTGTAGGGAACTCAAACTCTGGTCCTCACTCTTGTGTGGGAAGGCCTTCATCCATGGAGCCACATTACCAGCTTAAGAGTCTTGAAATGAAAGAGTATTGTGAGATGCTTATCAGAATACTGATTACAATGGGGTTATTTTAGATCTTTTAAAATTATTTTAACAGTTAAATAATAAAAATAAATTTAATATTTCTATGGTCACAATGTCTTTTCCCTTTCCCCAAAATCACACAGTGAAACCAATTCGCTGATCTCCAGTATAACAGTATTAGAAAATAGTTCTTTGGGAAGTGATTAGCACACAGCATGGTGCTCTCACAAGTGGAATTAGTGCCCAATATTAAGGAGGCCCCAGAGAATCCCCATATACCTTGTACATTATGGGAATATAATGAGAAGACACAACGAAGCAAAACAAGCCTTTATCAGAACAAATATGCAAGAGCCTTGGTCTAAGATATTTTTCCAGCTACTAAACTGTGAGAAATCACTTTCTTTTGCTTATAAACCACTCAAATGCTATTTGTCTATCATAATTTCTTCATGTTTACCTAAACAGCCCAGACTCATGGCTGCACACTAGGCACTAGGATTTGGAAGGCAACACAAAATAAGGCCTGTGCCTAACCTGTGTGTCTGTGGCTCAGAACAAATACATAGGTGTATAGCTAATACTTGGGGTTGAGAGTATCATAAAGTGTTTGCAGATTGTCGGAACACAGGTGGAGGATAAATTGATCCCTTGTTGATGGTAGGGTAGACAAGGAGAAAGCTTGGGAAATTCTACAGTTTGAACCCAGACTAGATGTTTAGAAAAAGGGAGCAAGAACAGGATAAATGGGATATATAAAAGAGACTTTAATTTTGTTTTGATTGAGATTAAACAGGTGTTGTGATGAGCATAAGAATGATTCCCATAGGCTCATATATCTGAATGCTTAGTCATCAAGGATTGGCACTATTGTGAGGCATGGCCTTGTTAGGGCAGGAGTGGTCACACTGGAGGAAGTGTGTCACTGGGGGTGGGCTTTGTGGTTGGGCCCAGCATCTCCATTATCTCTCCTCTCAGATTGTGGAACAGGATGTTGCTCCCAGCTATTGCCCCAGCACCAAATGTGCTGCCTGCCATGCTCTCCACCATGAAGATAATGAGCTGAGACTCTGAAACTGTAAGCAAGCTCCCAATTAAATGGTTTCTTTTATTCTATTATAGGAGTTGCCTTGATCATGATGTCTTCTCATAGCAATCTAATTGCGACTAGGATAGAAGTTGGTACCAGGAGTGGGGTGTTATTTTGACAGGCCTGAGCATGGTGCTTGTTGGAAGAATATGAAAGACTTTGGAACTTTGAGCTAGAAAAATGGTTGGATTTAAATGTGACTTTAATCTTTAAGTGGGACTTAATGGGTCATCCTAATAAGAAAACAGACAATAGTGCTGAGGGCACTTTGAACTTTGAAACCTACTTTAAGAGGCTTCAGGGGGGAAGTATTAGTAAGTGACCTGAAGTGTATTCTTATTAAATTTTTGTAAAGAATGTGACTGCATTCTTCTCTCCCCATACCATACCCCCCCACAAACCTGCCTAAGGCTAAATCAAAGAGTTTTGAATCAATGGCATTGGTATAGGATATTTTAAAGATAGCCTTGTACTGATTGTGTCACTTGGTAATTAGCAATTACTTTTATGCTAAGTCTGGTGCTCAATGAGATAAAGAAGTTTAAAGAAAAGCCTGATGCTGTGGTGATATTTTGTTTGTTCTTTAACAAATAAAGCTTGCCAAAAGATCAGTGTGCTGAACTAGCCACTAGTAGCCTTAGAGGTCAGGCAGTGGTGGCACACACCTTTAATTCCATCACTGGGGAGGCAGAGGCAAGTGGATCTCTATGAGTTCAAGTTCACCCTGGGCTATATCAGATTGATCCAAAGAGAAAAAGAGCCATGTGGTGATGGTGGCTCAGAACTTTAATCCCAGTACTTGGGAGCCACACCCCTGTAGAGCTAGGGAGGTAGAGAAAGGAGTGATAAGACTGGACAAAGAGGAATATAAGGTAAGAGGAGACAGGAACTCAGCCCATTCAGTCTGAGGATGCTTAGAGACAGGATCATATTCAGTCTCAGGATTTGTAGGGACATGATTGTGCCTTTGGTCTGAGGATTCAGTAAAGGTAAAAACTAGAGGCTGGGTGTTCTGCTTCTCTGATCTTTCTGCATTAATCCTTGTATCTGACTCCAGGTTTTTATTTTAAAACCAATTAGAATCCAAGCGCTACATGATGCTAAATAAAAAAATAAAAGAAGAGTGATGACCTCAGTCAAGACCCCACCCAGGTAAACTTCCAAATTATAAAAGTAATTAAAGGGAAGCTTAAGCTAAGAAGGGAAACATTAGCAATATAAAACTCTCTCAAATGTAATTGAAAGAGGGGGCCGAATTCCAACTCCATTAAGCAGAAGAACTTGGTAGCTTCAGGCATGTGCTAGGGGTGTCCCCAGAGAGGCTATTGTGTGAAGTTGTGAAGGTGAACCCTGAATTTCACTGGAGACCTCAAGATGTTGGAAATGGGATACTTACTAAGGAGAGCTGCAGGCTGGGTGTGGGACCCACCCAAGTGAAAGAAGTTTGTAACAGTCAACAGAGCTGGAAGGAGTTGGAGTTTTAAAGGTGATCTTTATCATATAAATAGGCTGGAAAAGTTGAGAATAATAAAAAAATGTATTGATCCATCACCCAATAGACAAATATCAATTGATGTATAAAGATACAATTGTGGATTTTCTGTATATGTATAAAGTGGTATTTATTTATCACTTAACTTTTTTGGTTCTTTAAAAAAGGAGCAAGATTTGCCATATCACCACAGTAACAGTCTTGAACCAGAGTTTGAGTAGTAGATTTGACATTCATCAGTGAGAATTCCAAGGCACATCCATAAACTCTCTCATCTCGGTTTCCTCATCTATATAAAGACACCAAAATAGTGCCTTCCTTACTAGGGCACTGTAGGGATGCTCACCACAGTACCTGGAACACAGCTCTCCATGTGGGGTTTGCTAGCGCCTGTATTATTGCTGTTATTGCTGAGCCCTAATGTCATCGGCAGGTTGAATACTCTAGAGTTCTATTTCATAAAAATGATGGTTTCCCCCTGTATTATATTTGAACAATCTACATGTGTCTCTTTGACAGTGTTTCTTTGGCACAGATGAAGAACAGAAAGCTTGGGAGTCAGTTCTGAGGGGATGAGAGAATGACTAAACAAAGACAGACAATGAGAAGAGGCATCCACAGAATGGCAGGACTCAGGCAATTGTTGCAAGGTATTAATGAGCAGGGAGATCTGGAGAAACCTCAGCATTGCTTTCTGGGGACAGCCACAAAGAGCGATGATAAAGGAGGGATGACAGGTCCCAGCAGGCCTGGCCCAAATGCAACACAGAACAAGCCAGAAGAAAGCAGTGTGTCTTGTTCAGCTCCTCTGTGAAACTTTCAATCAGCACTGGCTTCCTGGCAGGGTGAGACAGGGCTCCAAACATTACAGGTTACTCAGAAGTCACCAGAGAAAAATAGATGAGGAAAGCCTTGAAGAATGAGCATGGTCTCTGATGGGATGCAGTTACCATAGAGACCACTCTCAATGTTAGCCAGGAAGGGCAGTCTCTGTCCTCAACATAGTTAACAAGCTATTGACCAAACATGAAGATACCAGCAGGTGAGTGGAATGAAGCCGCTACATCATAGCGGACTGTGCTAAGATCAAACAGAGGAGCAAGCAGCCATAAATCAACCAGGCCACTACAGACATTGAGTTAAGTTCAGAAGAGCACAACAAGATTCCAACCAGCTATACACAGCACAGGGAGGATGTCCCAGAGGCAGGTGCTCAGAAGAGAGATGCTCATGTTTGCCCAGAATTGCTTAGGATTTATAGAGGATTAAAACAAAACAGAATGGCACCACTTGCAGGCATACAGACAGTAAGTAAGGATGTAGGAAATGTTAGTTGAGAAAAGTCTGTGAAAGCTGTAAAAGAGAAAAGACTTAACAACATATTGCCCAGCATTCAGTCAAGCTGAAGACACAGCAGGGGGGATCCAGGCTTCCAGAATCAAGAAATGTTGATGGGTGGTGAAACAGGATTCCAACCAAGTCTTTCTGAGGGTAAGCCTTTGGTTTTTCTACCAGGCTGTCTTTACAGGTAAGTATTCAAAGAACAATAACTTACTGTTTACTTCCCATCTCTGTTCCAACCACAGGAAGTAATCATAACTGAAACATTCACTGGGTGATCAGACCCTGTCCCTGCAGCCTGAGGACCTTGAACTTTGTCTTCTACCAGCAGGTCTATTGGCTTAAGTGGTGAATTAGCATCCAAGATCCTTCTTGCTACTCTGGAATAGCTAGTCACCCCACTTCCTGCCTCCCCTTATGTCCTGGGACATATTAAAAGCACCAAATCTTCATGTCTTGCACGCTAGACTCTCCTAACCCTAAATGCCTTTAACTTTATTTTCTGCTTAACCAATCACTGTGGTGCTTCAAAACTCAGTTCAAGGGCCATATCATTCATTCATCTAGTCATTCATTCATTCATTTATTCAACAAGAGCTACTGCTTGTCAAGTGTCTGGAATACACTGAGTGAGTCCTTCCTCAGTACTTTCTCTACCTCTACACACCTCACTAATATGAGGCATCTGCTCAGGGCAGGACTGTATGTTGGTGTATCTGTCTAGCTCATTAGAGTTTAGATTCCTTGAGGGCAGATTGCATCTTACTCACAGTCTAGCTTCTTTTCTAGAATTAAGTACATAGCAGCTGCTCAATAAATATTTATTAAAGAATGAATAAAAGAATACATGAATGAATTGCATTTCAAATTCAATCCAGCTTGCTGGATTTTGAAGCGAATTCTCCAAGCCATCAAGTGAGCTTGGGATGAACCTTTCTCATGTGCATCACTTAATAAAAAGAGCTCTGGGTCAATTGAAAAATTTAAAGTCAATATGAAATTGATCCTCATCAGCACTTTCTCCTCCAAATATATAGACAAAGGGACATTTCTGAAACATATGTATTAGTGTTGCATTTTCTGCTCCACAGGCTCAGCGATCGTTGTCACCTCTAAGTCCAGTTCTCATTAATTTATGGGGCATTCAGCATAATCAGCAATAGGCTTCTTGGCAGCATAAATTGGAGAGTAGACTAGCATTCAAGTGCGTTCTAAGTTGCAAATGAGCTATTCCCTTGCATATTTTCTCTTAGAAGTTACTGAGCACAATTTTAATGATGTTGAAGGCCTTTAGGCAGGATGTTCAAGAACCCTCCAAGATTCTCAGCCAAACTGACCTCTTCCATTGTGCAGAAGAAAGAGTGCACATAACCCAAATAACAGAAGGACAGCACCTTCTCCATCCAGCCTAGCAGTTGTATAAATATAGATATGCCCAGAAGGAAAAAATAGGAAAATACAACTCATTGCTGAAAGAAACATGATGCCAAGATAATTTCTGATGAAAGAGACTGGTGCCCAATATTGCATGTGTGTGCTCTTTAATTGTGGACTGCTGTGATGCTCTGTGGAGACTGGTGCAGAGAGAACTAGGAAAATGACTCTGGATGACATGCTTGCTTTCCTCTTGAATTGCAGCAATGGGAAGTGGCACAGCCCAAGAAGTCCTGAACTAGTCATGTCCAATGCTAACCTAGATTTTTTTGCCTCAGAATGTCTCTCTTAGAACTTATAGTCAAGGACACTCCTGCTTTCACAGAGTTGGCACACAAGAAGGGTGTAGAGTGGGCCTGGACTGCCCATACCAAATTGAAATTGTACAGCAAGGGAGATGGAGAGGAGACCCAGGGGTACCTCTCCACACTACAGGTGGGAGACCCAGTCATAGTCTTGTCAAATAAAACTCCAGGTGGTCCTATGATGAGTCTGATGAAAATTCGGGCTAAGGATGGGGAGAAAGCCTGCAGAGGGTGAAAAGAGTTGGAATAAGAAAGGAGTTGTTATTATGAATACGGCACATGACAGGACCTTTATCAGTTCCCATGGCAGGTGAGAGACAAATGCACCATCAGGCAGGACTTATGTGGCAAGTTTATTGAGGGAAGGGAGTAAGGGAAGGGAAGGGAGTAAGGGCAGGGAAGAGATGAGAGAAAGAAGGAGAGAGAGAGACAGAGAGACAGAGAGACAGAGAGACAGAGAGACAGAGAGAGAGACAGAGACCTGTCTGCCTCTTCAGAGAAACAGTAGAGAGTGGAAGTGGGTAGAGCTTGCCTCCTAAAGGGACCTTTGCACCTGTTACCTGTGTTCTGCCTGCCATGTCTGACATGTCCTCAAGGGGTGGGGCCAGGTTTGCATTTGCCGGATGATAACAGTTTTTATCCCAAAGTACACCCCTCTGAGTTTAGTTACAAGTTGCCAGATGGATATGTATGGTATTTATACATACATACACACAAATGCAAATATGTATATGTACATAGATAACATATCTCCACAAATGGATGTGAATCACATATTTGAAGATATTATCATATTTAGTGCAACCCTAATACTATACAAAAAAGTTATCATTTTTAGTTTTACAAGGACATTCAGACCGGCAGTGGTATACAGCCAAAGTCACACAAGCAGTAGACAGAAGTCCAAGATTTTGAGCCACTACCGCTTTCTTGAGTTTTTAAATCAGTTCAAGAATTTTCACTTTTGAGATAGGGCCTCCGGTGTACACTTGCTAAGTAGCTGAAGGCCTCCTTGAACTTCGGACCCACCTTCCAAGTACTGGAATGATAGGCATGCAGTACCCAACCAGTAATTGTTCTAATTGTGAAAGCCAATTCAAGTTGAGACATGTGCTCTCCAGCCCAGGTGAGAGAAGTGTTATGCACATCACATTTTGTGTAACCTTTGACTTCTATGGTGTCTTCTAGTCTCAGGCTTACTGTTTCCCCCTCTGTCTTAATACAGTTGTAGGACATTACTAGCTCACATCCTGAGATGCTCGGGATGATACTTCTATGTGAATCAGGCATCCAAAGCCATCCTTTCTATTTGTTAAAATTTCTTTTTAATTGTCTTGCTTTTTCCGCATTGTATGTATGTATGGTATGCTTGTGTGTGTGTGTGTGTGTGTGTGTGTGTGTGTGTGCAGGTTCACTGGCATGTGTATTTGTGCATGTGTATTTGTGCTTGAGGTTCACATTGAGTGTCTCCCTTAACTGTTCTACCCATTATGTATTGAAGCAGGTCTCTTGCTGAAACTGGAGCTCACTGCACTGTTTAATCTAATGAGCCAGCTGTGATCCAGGGATTGCAGGCAGACTACCATATCCACTCAACTTCTGTGTGAAATTTGGGGATGTGAACTCTGACCCTCATGATAGGGAGATAAGTCATTTACCTGATGAGCCCTTGTCTTACTCTTCATATTTACAAAAGACATACCCAAGTTTAGAAGAAAATACACATGGAGAACAATGAAAAAGTATTCTTTTTCCACTCTGGGGAGAATTCCCTCATACATTAAGGCAGCGTCTTTTAGTCTTCATTTTATGTCTGGGATGATACACCTAAACATATGTTTGCAAAGAAAAGATGGTGGTGAGATTTTTGTTCTTTCCTTCCATCAATATGTCATCAACAACACTAATGAGCCTTTAGAAACCTGTTTTATTTCATTGATCCCTTACTTACAGAAGGGGAACAACACTGAAACCATTTTCTCATTCGTTAAAGTTTGCTTCTTGGTCACTTTCAAACTTTGAGAAACTTCATGGAAATGAATGTGGTTACTCACAACTCTTTGCTCTTCCTATTTTTAGGATCCAATATTAGAAGAGGAATCCTGGGGTAAAAAGTTGTGTTACTACTGAAAACTTTTCTGAGTACTTCAGCAGAGGTTCTTCCCAGCCCAGAATACCATGCTTTCTGATGGGACTCTTTGACATGGTCAAGAAAGTTTGTGGAAGTTTTAATAAGAATCAATTAAGGGAACTTGTTGAGACAAAAGTACATCTTTGCTACTTATTCTCTGGGTACATAGCCAAACTCTATTTGCTGTTCCATCACAATTAAGTGGATTCTATGGCTGACCTCCAGCCAAGGAATACGGTTAGAGGACATGCGTGCCATGTTCAGTCAGATCCCCTCCAAGCCCATCAAGTGTGATTTTCCTCTTTCTGTCCTCTTCTTCAAATACCTTAGGAGCATAAGAAAGGCTGGAAAACAACCCAGTTCCCCAAATGGGTGCACCTAGTAGAGCAACACCCTGTAGTTGTGCTAAGTCTAAGAGTGGGGAGGGTTGTCAACTAAGAAAGCCAACTTTACTCTTCCTAACTACTGTAATGAGTTCTTGATTCACTAAAAGCTCCCCAAACCCAAAAGCCTCATCTGATCTTTCAGGCTTCCTGTCGTCTGCTGGCCACCATGACTTTTGAGAGATCTGTTCTGCTTTGTAGACCTGTGCCCAGCAGAGTGTTCAACATGAAAGGCTATGTGTGGGAGTAAGCTGACATGTGGTGAAAGAATCAGTGGGCCCCTCAAGAACTCTGAATACCAACTTTCAGCTCTTGAGATCCATTTCACCATCTAAAGAAATCCTTGCCCTTGGTCTCTGCCTCCTAGCGCATGTGAGGGCTTTATCGTGTAACAAGCCCATTTCCACTGCATGGAACACATGCACACATGAAAAGCTCAGTGCCCAGGCCATTCCTCCACAGCTGGATGCAGCTCATCAGAGTGCAGAGACTTCATTTCTTTTTTTTTTTTTTTTTTTTTTTTTTTTGGTTTTACGAGACAGGGTTTCTCTGTTTTGGAGGCTGTCGGTCCAGCCTGGCCTCGAACTCACAGAGATCTGCCTGCCTCTGCCTCCCGAGTGCTGGGATTAAAGGCGTGAGCCACCAACACCTGGCCGAGACTTCACTTCTATTCTCCTGTATATGCTGTTCACAGTGTGTATAATGTAAGCTGGGAAATCATCTTGCCCATCCAAAGAATTCCAGAAGCAGACCCATTGTTTTCCTGGTAGCCTAGAAGGAGAAAGTCATTCTTGTAATGCTCATCATTTACTCTGTCCATATGGTAAACACAGAGAGGTCTACACATGCATAAGGTTGAAATTGCAAATCTTCCCAATCCTGGGGCCTTTCCTTGGGTTGTTAGCTCATGCCAAACTGGTGGCACGAAGTAGGGGACGCAGAAGTCACATTTTGGCTGCCCAGCGTTCTAACCATGCAGGTGTCTCACTATGGTGACAGTCTAAGGATATATAATTACACAACTAATTATATTGAAACAGCAAACCTGAGCTTCTGTAAGAGGTCCAAGCCCATGGACTTGTCATGTATTATGCCATAAAGTCCTTCCATATCCCATTTTGATATCACTTGTTGAGTATTTTCCAATGATTGAAACCCTCACTTAATTTTTGGATGCCAACCTCTGCACTTCTTATAAAAACTTTCCCTAGTTTTATATCACTCAATGTATCATAATGAAGAAACATTTCCTCCATCAAAGGGTGCTGTATGGACTTGGTTCCATCACTGTCAGTGTTGAGACTTCAACTGTTGAGATCTCAATCTGAAAATCAGAGGCACAGGTCTCTGAAGTCTTTTTAAGCTTCAGAAGTTCATTTTATTTGCCAATAAAGATGAACATTATTATGTATACATACTCATAAAATAACACATAACTCTTTTATGTGTTCTGAATGAAAAGTGTTTGTAAAATCTTCCAAATCAAAACATCAAATTTCAATCTAGTGTATTTTGATAAGTGATAAAGTACTCTAGAAATTTTACAATTTTTAACAATAAAATTCCAACTCCTCTATTTGTTCAGTTCTCAGACATATAACAAATGGTTTTTAAATACTCAAGGAGGGGTGGTGAGATGACTCAGTGAGTACAGAGTCTGCACACAAGCATCAAGACCTAACTTTGAATCCCCAGAACCTACATAAAATCTGGGCACAATGGCAACATCCGTAAACCCAGGTGTTCATGCAACAGGATGGGAGGAGATGGCAAGAGAATCCTCAGAAGTTTATCAGCCAGATAGCCTGGCATGGCAGCAGACAGCAACAAAGAAATTCTGTCTTTAAACAAGCTGGGAGATAGGGACACACATCACAGGGTGATTGAGTAGTTTACATTAGACAATATGGAAAGTCACTTTCTAAATAACAAAATACAAGTCTGTCGTGTTAAATGAGCAAATCTCTGTTCCAAGAAAGATTTACACCATTATTGAATTAAGCATCCCAGATTCTCAAAATCATGTCCAGCTAGCTATACTGTCTCTCTGTCTATAAAATAATGATGAATCTTTAAAACTCCTCAGACATCTCAGTCCTGTCTTTGATGACACCTGAGTAGTGTGCTGGCTAGTTTTATGTGATCTTGACACTAGCTAGAGTCTTCTTTCCAAGAAGAGCAAGTCTAGATTGAGAAATTCTCTTTCAGTACTAACCTGTGGGCAAGCCTGTGAGGTGTTTTCTTGATTGAGGATTGATATGGGAGAACTCAGTTCATCGTGAGTGGCACCACCCTGGGCTGGTGGTCAAACTTGGTGTAAGAAAGTAGGCTGAGTAAGCCAGGGAGAGCAAGCCAGTAAGGAAGTAGCACTCCTGTGGGACCTGCATTTCCTATTCCTGCCTTCAAGTTCTGCTCTGCCTCCCCTAGATGATGGACTATGAGCTGTAAACTGAAATAGACTCTTTCCTCCTCAGGAGGGAACATGTCCGTGGAGTTTTATCATAGCAATAGAAACCTTAACTAAGACAAGTGGCTACCTTCCTCCACCAAGCACTTGCCGTACACATTACAGTGAAAGAATCAGACAAACACAGGGTCAAATCCCAGGTGTGTAGAGGAACATTTATGTGAGCTTGAGAAAACTGCTTCCCTCTTGGGGTCTTGGTGTCCTTATCTGTAAATCAGTTAGATAATGTCAGGACAAAGGGGGTGTTTTAAAAATTAAAATGTAGCAACTCCCTTAGGCCTGCGGGTACAATACCTCACACATTGCAAGCAGTCAGCAGAAATTAGTGTCCACCTCGTTCTTCCTCCTTTTCTCTTGAGCACCAGAATGCTCAGATTCCAGCAGGAACCTTAGTGTAAAGACATGTGGGGGTGGATAGGTTGCTCCTAGCCAGGTAATGTCAGAGGATGCCTGAAGTCTCCATCCCAACATCACCACGGGTTCCCACATGAGCCCCTCACCCCCTGTGCTTATCAACACATGATTTCACATGAGCGTCTAATACTTTTTTATATAAAAAGAAAGATTATTCTCAACGATGCATGCAGATAAATATTCAGGCTTTAAACCTTTTAGAAACATTAAAGATTTTACTGCTCAGTGTTTGACAGACTTGATTAATCCCTTCCACACGGAAATATTCAGGAGGATAGCTGTGGTTGGGTTTTAAAGCTCCGAGAGTGTTCTTTGATAAAGGCAAAGAAAAGGTAAAGGGCTTTTAAAAAGAGTGAGCGATTCTCCTGCCACACAGAATAGACAAAGAATTTGAAGTCCCAGAATGCTGCGCAGTGTGGCAGCGAGCTGGAAGTCAGGGTGGGGGCGGGGTGCAGCGGAGCCATGCTTTAAATCCCTCTCCCTCACAGGAGTTTTCCAATGAAAGGCACCCGTGTAGCTTGGACATAGGACGAGAATCTAAGAGATTTATTCTCCGCTGGGTTCCAGATGGATGTTGTGGGAAAGGGTAATGGGGCAGTGCCAGCCAGGACAGCACAGGCTTCCGAGAGAAATGAAATGCAGAGTCCACTGACTCCTCCCTGCACTTCTGTCAACAGTGCTATACCTGCATACGTTTCTCCAGTCCTCAGTTAAAATAATAATAATAATGCCTGACTTAACTACTTTCAGTTTCTCTTCGCACAATTTTTAGCACACACTAATTGCACACATTTATAGGATTCGCTGTGATACGTGGCATGCATCCCTCATAGCTGTCTACCCTTCTCCCCTCCTCTCCTTCCCAAGGTGCTTTTTGATCCCTATTGGCTCACGTACTACTTTCAGACCAGGGCATTCCCCCTCCACTTTTTATTCAGACCCTTTAAAGAACAGGAATATATTTTAACCACTTTTTCTCCATTAAAATCTGCCTTAGCTTTTATATATATTACATATCTATTACTTGGAGAGTTGTGTTACTGAATACAACTCTCTGAACAAAATAAATAAACAAATAGGGTTTACCAAATACAACCCTCTAAAGATGCAGGCAGTGCAAAAACTCCTATTCAAGGGCAATGCTTTAAAAATTGGCTAACAGATTCTACCCCTCTCCGTGCTATGCTAGAAAAGAAATTATCTCCGAGGCTAAAACAACTGTACCTCCAAGGGCATATCAAACCTCATTGCAGCAAATATTGTGTGCTCTCACTCACAGAGCAGCTGGGAATGGCTTCCAACTTGGCTTTGTTGCCTGGGGAAGACAGCCTGTCTACCTCCTAGTAGGTACCTTTGATGAGGCGTGTGTGGGGAGCCATGGAGGCCAAAGGAAAGTACCCCAAACCCAGCATTCTGTTCCTTGGATGTGTTAGTCAAAGTTTTGAGAATGAGTGATACACCCCTAAGCTATATGCTCAAGGTTGATGAAAAAAAAGGAGATATAGGAAAAAAAAGGGTCCATTGCATACCACGCTGCAGTTTTCATCTGTGAATTTCCACTGTGATGCCAGACAGAATGCTGGCTCCTTCAATCAGTCACCTCCACAAACCTCTTTGTACCCCCACCTGCTCTGAGCTTTTCTTTGCCACCCAGGTCAATCTGCAACCCCAGCCCCTGTTCTATTTTTATGAGAGCATTTCCCCAACAGGAAACACCAACATATCTGCCACGAGATATTATGGGGGCAAAGGTGTAATTCAATTACGTGACTTAATCAATTCAAATGGCTAATGTACAAGAATCTCAGGATGTCATCCAGCTTTCAACTGAGGGGGAATAATTGTTC